TCATCTTGTTCCATTGAGGCTTTAAAAGAAAAAACCAGGACTGTAACTGCAGCAGAATTTGTTCACAACCATTCTTTCTTGTAGCAATATATGATCAAGCTATGCTTTTATTATTTTGTTATGATATCTACATGCATCTTTGCTGAAATGGATGCCATACCAGCTTATATACTTGAAAAGTACAGAAAAGGATCTTTCACTGTTTGTTTACATCACTAACATATGACATATTGAAGTTGAGATATAAGCAATTACATCACCCTATGATAACTGAGGTTGAGAAATTGAGTTTTTAAAAAGTGACAAAATTACACTTGTATTGAAATTACAAGATTCAATTAGCATTATTATGTTAGAAACTATTATGTTTTTTCTCATAGGTACTCAAATTGTTAAATTGTGACTGAATTTTTTTAAATTGAATAGTGCAATTTTCCCCTCAAGACAGGATACACACATCTGGGCATGATAGAATTAAATAGCCTAAAAACTGGCCTGAGTTAAACAGTGTAAGCTCAACATTAATAGATGATAAGCCAACATAAATGAATATAAGCAAAAACATCATATAGCAGTTTATGTAAATTTTCCATGGCTTAAGATTCAAGAGAAAAACTCAACAAATTCACTAATTAACTCTTTATGGGCTAGTATAAAATTTAATGCATACAATTTTAAGACAAAGAAACCTAACATATAAAAATAAGTGAATTATTTAGGATTCCTATTACATATACCTACAGACATGAACATTAACAAAGACAGTATCTGTAGAAATTTAGACCTCACTTAGAAAATAACCAAACCTATTAACCTATTTATGTCTGGTGACCTATATGTTTTAATGAGATTGACCAACAGCAACACAAAGTAAGCAAGCATCTTGAGAATATAGATATTGGGTATATAATACTAATGATGTCTTAATTAGCTTTTTCTTTAAAGCTGATGCCTTCAGTTAGGTAAGAAAAGTAAAGTTCTTTGTAAACAGTAATACCCTTCTAAAGTTTAACCTTTACGTGTAGCTTCAACTAATTCTTATCTTTATAAGTTGTTAGGAGAGTATAAAGAGTTGGCTATACAATGAAGGCACTGTCCATTATCTTGTTCAAATTATTTTGATTTGTTTTTGAGTATAAAGAATTTTTTTCACTGTATGTTCTATATTATGTCCATTATCTTCCTTTCTCAAACTCAGAGATCTCAGAATTACTTCATAATAGATATCTCGTTAAACCTACTGTTACTAACCATCATTGCCCTTTAGTCCTACTATTGTGTGATACAAGTTTAAAAAAGGTTTACATTTATGTAAATTGCATTTTTCACAAATGGAAGGACTTACAACCAAGAAGAAGAGTGAGTCACTGAACAAGACAGTTGTATGAGAGCATTGTCAGGTCTAGGAGAAGTTCCCTCTTCGACATTAACAATTTCCTAATTTGAAAGTGTATTTCCAATAATACTTGCATCCTCTCACACTTATAGCTATTACTCAACTGTCAGGGTTTTTTTCTTTTGCCCATCTAAGCAATGGTCTTTTTTTTCTCACTTGTTTCAGTTTTTTTATACCCACTTAATTACCCTTGGCAATATTTATCTCATGACACTCTCCACCTATGTCAATGTGCCCTCTATCCTGGTACTGAATATATGTACTTCATTCAGATAATGTTATCACTTTTTTGAGACTGACTCCATCCCAGTCACTAACACCAGCTCTTAGTGGGGAGGAAGGGCAGGAAAGTGTCAGCAGAAATAAGCATTATTGGAAATACATGTTCGATTTAGGAAAATGTTTACTTTCAATACATATATACCTCCGCTCCCACTTAAAGCTAGAATCCTACATTGAGAAGGTGGAGGGACTGTTGAGAGCAGTATCAATACAGAAAGTGTCTGAATAGATTATGGGTGCATCAATAGAAGATTGGCACCCTAGTGGGGAAACTGCATCCAGAATAGGTATGCTCCTCACCCTGAACTTAATTCCTGTATCATGGGTGGAAATGTATATGAGTGATCATCACTACAAGTCAGCCCCAACCAGATAGCTGAGGTTCCAATACTTGGGGTTGGAGTTAATGGGTCTTGGTCTCTATATCCCACGTTTGTGGCTAGGGCAATTGGTCCGCAAAATTACATCTATATATACTTATGAGTGGATTCCAACCTGTAGCCATTATGATGTGTTCCAAGCCACCTGAATCACAATGAGAAAGTAAGCAACACTGATGTGGACAAGCCTTCTCCTCCAGCTGAAGAAGCCCAAAAGGCAACATCCGCTTGGAATGATGGGATCGTGTATGCCTTACTTAGCCAAAAGAAACAGAACTCATCCAGTCTGAAATTATGAACATTCATTCTCACTCCCCAACCATGTGGACAACATACATTCCACTTTACCCTAGAATTATGGAGAGGACGTGTAACAACTGTACTCAACCAAGGACCCAGGATAGGACCACTCCACATTTGGAATTATGAGGAGATAGTGGACCCTCTTCCATGAACAATGTACGGAATTTATTATGATCAAACAGTAGGGTCATGCACACCCCAAATGGATAGTGCAGTGTAAAATCTGAACTAGTATTACGAGTAGGCTCCTATGTAGGCTGGTGCCACTCCTACTGACATCTGGATACAAAAAATAGGGAAAGGAATGCAATAATAAAGTAACATGTGTCTTAATGCTTTCCAGACTGGGAGGGTGTCACTGATATTTCTTGATATTTTCCTTCTTACAGTGGAAATACTTAACCAAGCTGCATAAAACTTAGAATCAACTCACTAAATACTTAAATAGTACCCAGTTTCAGTTAAAACAAATTCATATTATTTGATTTAGGTTTTCTAATATTTTTCTGTGTTGTGAACTGTCGAAAATCTTGCTGAAACAAAATTATAAACACTTCCTTTCATTTTAGAATTTCAATTTCTTTAAATGTTGATAAAGTTCCATCATCTCATTCTCAACTTCTGATGAAGTCACTTGACTGCACAATACAGATAAGACTTACAAAAGAAAGGCCTGACATCCAAACTTTCAAATAGTGACATTTGGTCAAAATCATCACTACTGGAGACAGCCACAAGTTCTGACTTCAAACATTTACAGTAACTTCATTCTAGACAACATTACAGTGCTCTTTATAGTGCATAATAACACTGAGGATATTGTCCACTGTGTTAGTGATAAATTGTAACTTTGTTTTTTTATTTTTTAAATTGACTTTTGATTAAATATGATTGAAAATAAAAATTTAAAATGAAGCAATGTTACTTATTTGTAATTTACTTCTAAATATTTTACTTTACGTTAATTGTAAAACAAGTTCTACAGGAAATACTATTCAAAATTCACCATGCAGTATTTAAGTTTTATTTAAACTTTATGTATATCTCAATCAAATACAAAAATAAACCTAAGTATTAAGAAACAGATATTTTAAAGAAAACCAGTCATATAGCTTATACAACTTAAAGTAAGTAGAATTTTTATAGTATCTTGGCACTTGTGTATAAAGTTAAAATCATAAATAATATTCAACGTTAAACTGGTACACAATTAAAAACATTTTATTTAGGCCTATATATGGTCTTCAAAAAGTTGACGACTCTACATGTTTCGACGTTACAACGTCATCCTCAGGAGTTGAATGTTGTAACGTCGAAACATGTAGAGTTGTCAAATTTTTGAAGGCCATAGATAGGTCTAAATAAAATGTTTTTAATTGTGTACCAGAGTAATGTTGAATATTATTTATGATTTTAAGTAGAATTTTATTTCATATTATTAATCAAAGTAATATTTTTCAAAATCAACAAAAAAAAAAACATCAACATAATTTTTATAAAAACTAATAACACAACCAACAAATCAAACTTGATCTAAGTTAATTATAATTTTTTTTCGCTAGTTAAATATGAAAAATATTATTCCACTTGGAACAAGATCTAGATCAGATTTATATTTATTTACAGCACTTATGAATATGTAGGTATTTTTACATACTTGCAAACAATTTAAAACACGAGGTTGACATTTTTAAGTAGAAAATTTTTGTAAAGGACAATTTTCCTACTACTTGAATGTTAGGAGGTTGGGTTCCTTCGTGGGTGCAGGATAGCTACAATTACAATTTTTAAATGATGGTGTAGCAGAGGCACCAAAATATTGTTCTTGAATTTATAAACTGTGAGTGTACTTGTGTACCATGGTTACTTGGCACAGGAAATACAACTTTAACCACTAACTTCTACTTACAAATATTACATGAAAGTATTGCTCAATGGCTCTAGTATACAACACAGAGTAATCAGAAACCTTTATCTTATTGATCCACTTGACAATCTTGTGGAATTAAATAAGATCACCAGTGTCTTTTCTTTCTCACGAAAAAATATGAGATCTTAACCTATCCTTGTATGAAAACCCCTTCAATTTCTGGAATCATTCTATTTCTAGTAGCCTGCATCTAAACCCTTCCTAATACGTTGACATCCTTTCTTACATAAAACTAAGAGAACAAAAATGTACACATTATTCCATACGAGACTTAATTACTACTACTAGTATTACTAAACTAGTGATTTGTATAGAATTAAAAATAACTTTTTGATTTGTAATCAATATAATTATATATCTATAATTGTTTTATTCAAATTATTTTATAAGAGAAGAAAATGTCCAAACAACTCTTACTGTTAACGATTTATCTTTTAGTTTTACGGCTTAATTTCGAGTGACATTCGACTCTTTTTAAATCTTTTAACTGTTTAACTTTACTGCCTTGCCTAAGCCTACCCCTGTGCTACCATTAACTATAAGTATTACTAACGGTAATGCCATGAGTAATGCCTAATGGTTTAAACTAACTTAGGCACACAATCACCGATTGATATATTTTTAATTTTAGTTAGTAAAACATCAGTATACACATAGTAATTAATATAAGTGTAACTAAATGACCAAAATCAAATTTTAAACGTCCTACCTTATTGGCACATAACCGCCATACGTAGCATGCCGAACTATATCTCCTCAAATTTCATAACATGAAAAACCTAATCTGCTTCGAAAGTTCTTAAATTTAAACTCTTAGTTACTATCTTTACTACCATTCGTGTCCAGTCATCTAGACTAATTCAAATACCAAACTAGCGGGCACATTTATAAAGGGGAAAAAACATATATAAATATATTTATTTATGTATGTGTTTATAATATTTCAATCTTCGCTACCAGTTTCATACTCTCCTTCAATATCATTTCTTATTCATGAAAATGAATAATAAACATACACAGACACACAAATATATATATATATATATTCAAATCAAAGTTACTTTTGTTTCACGGTCATAAAATGCAAAAAAAGCAATGTTTCTAGTTATAATATATTTTGAACTTCTAGCGCTGTCTGTAAAAACCCTGGAAAAACAATTAGTACTATTGAAATAAGTCTTAAAGCAATTATAGTTTGTCAACGGTAAGCTTACAGATTTACAACACTAAAATCCGAGATTCGATTCCCTGCGATGAATAGAACGTAGATAGCCGGTTGTGTAATGTGCTAAATAGTTACTTCATTTTTGTTATAAAGTCTATTTTTTATTGTTCTAACTTGTTTGTTAGCAAGAGAGCACATGACGTTAAGATAAAGTAAGTTTGTGGGAGTAACTTAGAAAATTCTAGATTTTTGCGTCAAGGAGATGTACAAACACATTAACACAATAAGATCAAAGAAGTATGGAAAGGTTGTAATGATGAGACTGAAGAAGTACAAAAGAACGTTAACAAAGTCAACAGCAAAATAGAAAAGGACATTGACAAAGTTCAATAAGCGAAGAAGAGAAAGACATAAACGACGTAGAAAAGAGATTAATGAAGTAGAATAAAGCATATGAAGAATGAATTGTTAAATGCAAAGATTAAATCAGCCATTCCTTTTTCTGTATTGCCTCAAAAGCTCCAACTTAAAACATCATCGACTAAATTCATGAAATAGGAAAACTCATTTGGTCTACACATATTACAATTACTGTTGTAGCATTTTTTACTGAAGGGCCATTTTGGACTGCTCCAAACAAGACATTACCAAGCCCATTTCCAGAGTTCAGTTGGCCAGTTCAACATCAACCGATAAAGAAAACAATAAACTATGATGGGAAAGTATCATGTTAGTCATAAAATTCACAATTCGAAATCATTTCGAGAATAAATGGGTGGAATAGTGAACAACAAGTCATCCATCTTGTTGCACATTTAAAAGTACCAACCTTGACTACATTCAGTAACCTTTCAGCTGAGAGACCTAACAACTATAAAACATTAACAGTTGCCTTATCCAACAGGTTTGGAATGTTACACCAGAAAGAATTATTCTGAGCAAAGTTATTGTTACGACAGCGGAGGTCACGTGACGCTAATAACACGTCATCTTCTC